CCAATAAGAAGGCTAGAAATCAAATACTACAGTTACAGTTTAGTAGAAGATGAAATTGTTTTTAAGGGCCGGCGGGACAGCTCAGTGGACTAAGCACCTGCTTAGGCAAGCACAGGGACCAAGGTTCAATCCCTGGCACCAAACACCATGCCAGCCCCGCCCTTGGGTACATTGCGCCAGCCACCAAGATGGAGCGTGGTGTGCACACCTATAATCCCAGCAACAGGAAGGCTGAAACAGGAGGATCACTATGAGTCCACGAGGTATAGTAAGACCTGCACCAAATACACTAAAAAAAAATAAAAACAAAAAAAAAGATTGTTTTTAAAATCCAAGCACAGGCAAGAAACTAAAGACAATTCATAAAAAGTATCAGTAATGCCAGAAGAATTATACCCCAATAGAGTAATTACATTAAACATAAATTGCCTGAATGTTACAGTGACTGCAAAGATGGCTTCTTTAAAAATAGTTCCTAAGGAAAACATCAAAAATATAAAAGTACAGAAAAAGTGCAGATAAATGCACTACTACAAATAATGAGTGGCATTTCATGCTTAGGTCAGTCCACCATAAATATAAAAATAATGAAGTTCATCAGAAGTTTATGATTCAGCAATAAACACAAATACAAACAGCATAAAATCAGGAGGAATATAAATGATTTGAATAAAATTCTAAAAAGAGAGGAGAAAACCTGGCTCCATTAAAATTCACATTATTTTCAAGTATATACAATATATTAACCAAAATTGACCATGTGGCTAGGCAATGCAACAAACCTCAACAAATTTCAAAGACTAAAATCATGTGTCATTTTTCCAGCTTCATTATAATTATTTTAAAGTGACAAAGGCTAACAAAATGTTAATTAAAAACTTTCAGTGGCCCGGGAAATGACAGAAAATGCCAATGATTTTCCCAAGGCCAACAGGCTGTCAGGAGTTTCCCAATGTGTTTTCTACTATCTGACACTCATTCATCCATGGACACACGTGGGACCAAAAAGCAATCAGGGAACAAAAGTAACCGGGAGTCATTTCAGATACTGTTTTTTCAAGTTTTGATGGAACTAGCAATTGTACACAGCACACAATGATTAATATATGCCAAGAATTATAGCTTAACCACTAATTAAAATTCTGCATCCTGAGTTTAAAAAAAAAAAAAAAAATTCAGTGGGACTTCAACAGCAAGTTCTACTCAAGAGTTAGGCAAAACATAATGCCGACATCATATAGAAAAAAAAATCCGGATCGGTTCGTGGCTGTGCTCCATGCGTCAGCTTCTGGCCACGGTGATCACACACCTGAGAAAAGCAACTTAAGGAAGGAGGTGCTGTGCCTCGCAGCTGCAGAGGTTGCAGCCGTGGCAACCTGGGGCTACGGTGACACAGGCCGCGTCAGTGGGAGCACGCTCTGGAGGCAGTCTGTTCTCTGCAGGTGGCGAAGAGAGAGAGAAGGGACAGGGAAGGAGGCTCCCATGTGCCTGTCAGGAGCGCACCCCAGGACTTAAGTGTTCTTCAGCCAGACCCCACCGTTTTGAAGTTCTACCCCAGAACGACGGTGTCACAGGCTGGCAACCAGGCTCTAGCACGCAGGCCTTTGGGAGACATTCGAGATCAAGCCTGACGCTCTAACACCCAAGGATGATAAGGAAAAGGAAGCTCCAAGCCAATTTTACTCAGGAACACAGAAACAAGGACAGCAGGGTGCGTATTAACAACAGCATCCAGTATGCATTAAAATTGCAGTACATCGCGACAATCACCCCAGCCACGTGCAGTGTTGGTTTAATGTGAGAAATGTTTTCCCCATTGACAGATTAAAGGGAAAAACCTAAAAAATCCTCTATAAATAAATGCAGAAAAGGCATTTTGATTAAGATTTCACATCAACTCATGGTTAAAACATGCTTTGGCCACTCGGTAAACAAAAATGCCATGGCAATGTACAAATAGAACATAACTTTAACATGACTAAAAAGGAGGGAAGGAAGAGGGGCAGGAGACATAAAAAAAAATAAAATAAAATGTGCCATGTACCTGTACCAACTACCAGGATGTGGTGCTAACATATACTGATTCAAAGAAAAGAAAAAAGTTCCATGCAAATACTCTAAGATACACGGAAGGCTTTATCCATGAAGTCAGGAATGAAACAGCGGTGGCTGCTGTCAGCGCTTCTATGCGGGGTTACGCTGAAGGCTCCCTGTGCCAGGACACAGGCGGCTGGGGGCAGATGGATGAGGACTGGAAAGTACATTCTACGTCTGCAGTAATCAGCTGGCTTCACAAGATGACGAACACTGTGGTGGCAGAGAGGAAGGAGGGGGTGGGTGAGAGCGGAGGCAGTGCAGGGGAGGGGTGGGGCGAGGCTAGAAGAGAGGGGAGGGGAGGAAAGGGCAGACAACCAGGTTGTATCTACCAGTTCATTATGAATTACCCTACAAGTGGCTTAAAAAAAAAAAAAAAAACATTTTTATCTCATTCTATGATTTAGGAATCCAGGAACAGCTTAACTGCCTCCTCTGACTCAGTTTTACAAAAGTTGCAGTCAAAGAGAGAACTACGATTGAGGTTACCTCAAAGCTCAAGCAGGGACCACTTGCTTCCGAGATCCCTCACGCAGCTGTTGGCAGGCATCCCAGTGTCACCTACTGCTGACCACAGACAGTTCCTCGCTGAGGGCCTTTCCACAGGGCAGCTGGCTCTCCTCAGAGCAGGTCGAAGACAAGTAAGATGGTAGAAAGGGATTTTGGGAACCTAACACCACAGTTGATAACGCCATCACTTTGGCCACATTCTGTTTTGTAGGAGTGTCCCCTGGCCTGCCCACACTCAAGGTAGGAGGATTATTACACATGGCACTAAATGTCTACAAGAAGGGCCACTGGGAACTCTCAGATGCTCTCTACCATGGAAAGGCAAAGCAAAAACTGTCATCATTGATGGCATATATTGAATGTAGAGGGGAGGAAAACATACTAAATGATTAGAATAGGAAAGTCTAGCAAGGTTACAGGACACAAAGTCGAAACTGTTTTCATAGTATATAGCAGCAACTAACAAAATTTTAAACAATTACAATAGGAACGAATATCAAGACATCTATCAACTGAATCTTAACTGCTGAAGCTAGCGGATGAGTAATATATATATATATATATATATATAACCTTATAACATGTATGATATATAATAATATATATCTGAAAGTATTTAATTTTTTAAAGTTTCAAATATTTGGGAACAAATGTAATATTTGTAAACCTTTACAGAGAAATTTAAGCTTTTCTCACTTATCTTAAGTACATGTAAGCATAAGCCATGTTCATAAGCTGAAGGGCTAAATTTGTAAAGACAATAATTCTTTCCAAATTGAGTTATAGAATCAATGCAACCTAAATCAAATTCTCAAGACAGTTCTCAAGACAGTGTGTGTGTGTAGCTGACAAACTAACAAAATTTGTACAGAAGTAAAAAGTCCACATGGAAAAAGTGTTCATCCTATTTAGTTTTACTAATAAAACTAAAGTAAAAATCATAAGACACTCTAATTTAAAAACACACAGACACAAGTTCATACTCTGGCAACAGCAAGTTTTGGTGAAGATGTTCAACACAAGACACTCATGCACTGATAACAGAAGTATTAATAGGTACGATGACATTGGGAAATTGCTGTCACCTATTAAGTGTCACACTACAGTGGTGACTGCTTTTGACCTCCTTATGACTTTTTCTAAAAAGTAATAGTAAAAATGAAAAGGAAAAAAAATCTTCCCTTAATACTCTTTCACAGATGTAGCCATTGTCTTCATGAGCAATAGGACAGAAAATTCTGGAAAATAAAGCCTACCCTGAGGGCAAACAAAAACAAAAAGTGCACTTGTTCTTTCCTCTAAACAGAATGCCCAAGTCTGGGAATAAATCCTGAAACAATAAAAATCACCATTTCAGTACTTACTTGAAGTTCAGAGCAGTGCTCAAACCAACAGGAATACTTTGATCTATTTTTAAGTACAGTGAGCAAAACCTGTCACCAGTGGGCCATGCTGTCACAGCAGGGGCGGGTCTGGAGTGCAGGCAAAACGCGGCACGCAGGGCACCCCACGCCAGCCCGCGGGTGTGGCTGTCAGGTGGTGGGGCACTGTGCGCAGAGGAAGCCTGCCGCGTGCTCCACAGCCCAGCTGCTCTGCTATTTTGCAAAAGGACAAAGCAAGGAAAAACACTTGACACAGAGCTTTTCCTTCAGGCCTATACAAAAGCCCCCAAATCTCACCTTTTATCTTCTTACAGAAATAAATGACGGACGTGAGAATACTGGCAAAGTCATTTTGCAATGCTTCTAACTGATCTAAATAAACGCCAAGAAAAGCAAAACACTAGGTATGGTATATAAAAAAATATATAAACCATTTATTTACATTTTATTGACTTTCAAAGGACAAAAAAGCTGAAAAATATTTAGGAAAGTAGCAGTCTCATTTTGCTTAATGTATTTATAATTTTTTCACAAGAACAACACATATTTAACTTACAACTACAGGGCCCAAGGGACCCAAAGAATTTATCCAGCTCAATCTCCCGTCTTTAACTGACACTGAAATTAGACCACTGTAGATAGATGAAAATCTCACAAATAAATGTCACCTATAAGAGTCAACTTCAGTAGAATCTGTCACAGCATCCAACACATCTGCAATGAAAGGCACAGCCAGCACAATACAGGACATTCGGAATTCTCTCATGCAACACTGAAAAGTGGGATTCACGCAGGAGAAGTCACAGCTGGGCATGAGGTTGCCAGCCTCACAGTTACAGGAGCCCAGTGTCTTTCTCATTTAAGTACTTACACTATGCTAAGAAGACTTGGATATAACAAAACATCAATAACTAGCATAGACACAGAATTATTTTACAAACATCATAAAAACAAGTAAAAGCATTTTTTAAAAATATTTTACAACTTTAGGTTTTTTCACAATTCAAACCTGTTAACATTACCACAGTGTATTTGACTCAATGTATTACTGATCTGTGTAATTTTAAAAATCAGTCTTACAAAAATACTGACAGTGGCTCAATATTTTAAAAAGTCAGATCATCAGCGTCTGCATTCCAGTGGTCTGCATTGTATGCTTTTCTTCTACCACTCTTCACTCACAACAACATCACCACGGAGGTCTCTAAGCTCTGCCGCAGTAGAGGTCTCACATGCGAAAACTTCGAGTTCTTTGAAATGGCTGGAAAGGGTTTCTCAGTACCCACGTGAACAGCTGTGGTTTGGGTTTGGGTTTTTCAGAAAACAGAAGTGCTTCACTTTCTGGTGTAGGGAATCGCTCTTGGTAGACTTCGGGATACGATTTCTGAAACTAAGCAAGAAATCCAGTAAGAGACAAAAGACCTCTGAGAGCCAACAAAATGGGGTGGGTGGGCGTCAGATGTCGTGTGTTTACGGAACTAGGGATTAAAGCACGGCCTTTTCCTTTGCACTGAGCTACATTCCCAGCTAAGTCTTGTTTTGTTTTGTTTTTTATTTTAAGACAGGATTTTGCTAAGTTACTAAATTATCCACACTGGGCTTGAACTTGCATCTTCCTGCCTCAAAGTGCAAGGTGCAGAGAATATAGGCATGCATGCACCACCCCACCCGGGCAAGCCAGTCAGAGTTAATGTACGAGCTGGTGATCTTCATGAGCTCACACTTCCCTATCTGTCACTATTCTTGCAGAAACATTTGATTCTAATGTCTATAGATCTAATTTATCTTCCTTTTAATCTAATCTTCAAATAAGTTCTTTTTAAAAGCGTATTTCTTAAAATTATCCCCACTGCCAAGTATAAACAGATCACACTTTAAAAATATTCACAAGTAACTCCAATGTAAAAATAACTATGTTCTATACAATTAGAGCAAACTCTGGCCAGCTAAGCTTTCCCATCTCCCTGATTGTCCAACTCAGCCTTGCTAACTTCTGCCCAAATGGAAGCGAGAATGGTCCGAGGTATTTACTTTATGGAAAGCTTCAAGGGAGGCTAGATATTCTTTCTTTGAACTTTACCAATGAACTCTTCTCCAAAATTACTGGAAGGAAGTTAGGAACAGCAGTCTAGAAACTCGGCGCTGTGTGTGTCACCCTGTACAAGCTATGTGACAGGGCTCAAGCTACGCAGGAGGGGCCAGTCTTCAGGAACACACCTCACTCACCTGATCAGGTAACAAACCTTAAAAATGGTCAAAGTACCCGGCTGTGAGTTTAAACTAGTCTCTAAAACAAGCTGCAGTATTACTGACATCATAGGACAAAAAGCTCGTAACGCCTGAGGGAAGAGGCCAGTTTGACACTGGCACCTACCACCAATGTCTTTAGTTTTTAAACTCTAGACATTCCACATTCTATGAAATTTAACTTTTCTAAAAATCAAAAGAAATCTGCCCTGTTTGCTTCTTTTAAGTATTTGCCCTGTTGATCACTTCATGCTGCACATTAAAACAAAGGACAAATAAATGTAAGAGAAGGCTCTGTATCGAGGGTTCAATAATGAAAACAGAACTACACTGGAAGGGCTGGCGAGGTAGCTCAGCAGACTAAGCAGCTCTTAGGCAAGCGCAGCGACCAGGGTTTGATACCCAGCACCACATGCTGCAATGGCTGCCTGAAGACAGGAGATCACTATGAGTCTGAGCAGACCCCATGCCAAATACATAAAAAATAATAATAATAATAAATAAAACTATGCTGGAGACTAGAGACCCTGGAAACTGACTGGAATTATGTAAATCTAAACTTGTGGAATATATGATCTTTTTAAACTTCTTTATCTCAGGAAATGTATTAAAATAGAAAACAAAAAGAAGAAACAACATAAGAACAATAGGGAGGAGGATAAATGATCGGTAAAGAATCTTCTTATTACCTGCTTCAGTTTTTTCTTCTTCTCTTTACTGGAGAGCTTGGTGTCTGCTATAACTTCCTCCAGCAAGGCCGCCAGAGGCTCCTGCGAGCCGTGTGTTCTCTGGTATTCAAACTCCTCAGGACTAATCTGACGGCAAAATGAAGGAGCAGACAAAGTGATGTCCATATCAGCTCCCGGGTATTTTATCTGAAGATAAAGGACAAAGACTGGTTTAGATCAATTGTGGTGTGTCTCCCAGTCACACGTTATTCTTCAATTTGATTTGTGAAAAATTCTATATTGAAAAGTAAAACTTTCCATAATTTCTAAGGCAAATCATGCAAACTACTTTTAAATATGAAATATTTTACCTTTTTAACCCAACACATTTTAACAAAAAAAACTTGTGCCCTTTTAAAGATCTGAAACATAAACATAAATGTATTTTATAGTAAAATAAAATTCAAAAACAGGTACAATGTTGAATCATACTGTGAGTCACGAGGCTCCTCCCATGTCTGGAGACTCTGACCCCGACCCCCCCCCCCCCCCCCACCATGCAGGCTCAGGTCTCTGTGCACAGTGACACGGCAGTGAGGCACCATGAGCATCCCCATGTCACACGCACCTAGCAGACTCGGGGACGAGAAAGAACAAGGGTGTAGAAGTGCCTGGGCAAAAGCAACAGGGAGAAATACGAGGAGAAAGAAAACCAAGAGCTGGGCATAAACTAACAGTCCTTAAAAATACTTCGTGTCAAGCTGGGAATGACAGCCCATGCCTGCAACCTTAGTACTAGGAGGCTGAGGCAGGAGGACTGAGAATTTGAGGCCAGCCTAGACTTCATCTGAGAGCTGGTGTCAAATAAATCAACATATGACTTAATTTCTGAGTCTAGCATTTTTCTTAAAAACACAGCACCCTGCTGTTCTGCAGTGGGTTTCCACTATGCACTTACCACTTTGGCTTAAGATCTCCCACTCCAGGGGCCATAGCTAAAAAAGAATTTTGTTGTCTAGAGGGGTGATTACATGAAGCACATTCCACGCCTCAATGGCATTTTCAGCAGATCAATTAGAGACAACTTCAAGAGGGATGGCTGGAATCATGGGGAAGGAGCTAACTCGCTCATTTTGTTATTTTAAAATAAGGCAGGAAAACTGAAAAGGACCAGGCTAAAGAGTGAGCTCTGGGCCAGGCACCACAGCCAGAGCCTAGGGCATGAGAAAAGCACCAGACACACAGGCTGAGTACCTAAAAAGGGGGTTGTAGACAAGACTATTAGAAGGTTAGGCTAAAAAAACATTGCCTACTTCACTAGTTATCCCAGGGTCAGCTTTCAAGTGTCCCCAAACAATGTGCAGGAATAACCCAGGCCACAGGACATTGCCAGAGAAGCCCTACGCAGCTGTAATACTGTGCGGGGCTCAGGGGCCTCACGAGAAGAACAGCGATCTTTAGGCTCTGGGAGCCCAAGCCAACAATTGGGTGGCTCTTCTTCTGGATACTTCCAAGAGAAAAAGGGATGGGACAGTTGAGTAGTCACACTGCAGTACCTCTGCATGAGATCATGTCCATCTGCAGTTCAGTCATTCGGGCTCAGCCTCTACTTGTGACAGCAGAGGACCCATAGGGCTCTACCACAGCTTTCCACACCCGAGCTACGCATGTGAATGCACACCCGAGCTATGCAGTGGACAGCAGCGCTGCCAAACGGCTCCTTGTGGACATTCGAACATTTCAGTTTTGCTTTTTAAAAGTTTGGCTCAAAAAACTATTGGGGGAAAGAGATTAAGCTAAAGCATCAGTAAGACTGAGGTGTGTATGTATTCTGGTAATTTTTAAAGCAGACAAAAGGTTTAAGGAAATGAACACTCCTTTTCTTATAACACTGACCTAAATGTTAATTGAAACAATCCAATTAAAAGAATTGGTGACATACTACCAATTGTCACCAGAGGCTATCCACCTAGGTAGGTTGTGATATGCCCCTATTATAGAATACTCTTGTCAGTAATGACATAACAATACCAGTAGTAGCAGCAGCTACTTTACATGTATTAAACAATCTGATCTTCACAACAATGCTACTGGCTGTCTTTGCTACTCCCGTTTTATACGGAAGGAAAGAGTTTGAGGCAGAGGCTGAAGCCAAGTAACATTAGATAACATGTCTATGGTCAAACAGCTAATAAAGGGCCCATCACGAATCCAATCTGCTCTTGCCCAACCTAGTGTCAACCAGGAATATTTAAAGATGTGGGAAATTTTTTCATGCATGGTTATTTGAGAGAAACTACAAGAAAGAAAGAGAAAGAGAAAACGAAGAGGAGGAGGAAGGAAAGAAAAAACAAAAAAATCGTAATGGACTATAATTCTGTGAACATTTTAGTGTAACTCGGAGATATTCCAGCATGTATGAACATGCTATACTTTATGGATTCCATCAGTTTATTAGACTAGTATTCACATAGCATTGATCAGCATAACAAAACCAAGTACACATTCTGTAAGATTTTCTATGATAACGGCAAACATCTGTAGCTCTTACTGCATGCCAACAACTGTGACATGCACTTTGTACATAATGAACTTGATCCTCATAACAAAAAGCCCCCCGAAGCTGAGCAAGCTTACATGACTGTCCATGGCCAATTCATAGGCCCAATAACATCCCCTGCATTACCTGGACTCTTCGTAGATGAGCCACACGCTCTTCTATAGATGTCTGCAAGGCCACAGGGACGTTCAGAATCTCCTGGTAATTGTCCATCAAAAACGTCACCAAGCGAGCAGCTAATAACTCATCCAAGTCTACCTCGTCCTTGGAGCACAAGATGCAGTGGGAAAAGGTCTGGACCATCTGCATGGGGGCAGCGGGGTAAGTACAGATAAACTGCTGGGCAAGGAGAGTAAGCTGCTGGGTTTGGGCTGCTTTGCTTTTTCCTCCTTCTCTGAACTGAATACAATCTAGTTTGCAAGGGAAAGCTGACATCAGCAATGTCCTAAGTCACAGGGGGCAGATCCTCCCAGGTACCTGGCCGGCTGATGGGCTGATGGTTTCCAAACCAGTAGGAACAACCTATGTGCCTCTTGTTAGAACACTTCATAGAAAGAAGTTTTCCTGAGGAATTTTTTTCACACTCCTATTTATGCTAGAGGGAATTTAAACACAGACATACAAATTCTGAAAATCACTATCACCATCACTTTGACAGCACTACACTCCCCAACTGCCTCCTGCAGAACTAGGGATGAACTCAAGGGCTCCACATTAATCTGTATCTCCAGCCCATATTTTTTTCTTTTTCTTTTTAATTTACAGGTAAGAACTCTTGTTGCATAGGTCTTGCTTTATCTTGGTCTTAACCATCCAGCAGAAAAGTATAAAAATGAAGTATAAAAAGTAAAGCCATGTTGTTATGTTGAGCTGTAGGGGACTCAGGTCAACAATTTCTGACATTGCCAGTCAAGCGGAAGACCCAATACTATTATGGACTACTGGACTCTTTTAGAATATTTTGCTGAGTTAACATACCTATAATATTCAAATAATGAAACTAAACAAAGAAAGGGTATGCAGAAGAATGTCCATTTTGTATCTGTGTATTCAAATTGGTTAGGATAGATATATAGTTACATTCTCTTAATGAATAGAGGGATTTGTTCTAATGGTGTTTGTAAATAGGATGTCATGTCCGTATCTTGTACAGCAATTAACCACTAGGAAGAATATATGCAATGTGTTAATTATTGAAACTGTCCTACCAATTTGGTTTGAAACTGTCTCACTGCTATTTGTTTCTCAATAAAATTATGGGGAAAAAAAAAGATTTGTACTAATAGTGTTTGGGGACAGGATATCATGTCTGCATCTTGTACTATGAATAACCACTAAGAAGACAATAATATGCAATGTATTAATTATTGAAACTGTCCTAATCGGTTTTGAAACTGTCTCATTGCTCTTTGTTTCTCAATAAAATTATTTTAAAAATAAAAATAAATAAATTTTAAAAATAAATAAATAAAAATTTAAAGGTAAGGTCATGCTAAGCTGCTTAGGCTAAGCTCAAAGAACTCATGATTCTCCTGCCTCAGCTTCCCACACTACTGTAGTTATAGGTCAGGAACACCACACCATCTTCACATAGCACTTTTAAATTTAATAAAGTAAATTAACTTTATACATTAAATATACATATTCGGTTTTATTATATCCTAATTTCATTTTTGACTTTTAAAAAAACCTGGTAATAGGCTACATGCCCCAATTATTACATCTTTTCCTAGTTACCCATTTCCTGCATGATTTGGGATATATATTTCACAAGCACCTTTAAACAAGGCACAGAGGCCAGCAGTGGTGCTGCTTGCCTATAATTCCAGCACTTAGAAGGCTGAGGCAGGAGGATCGTTGTGAGTTCCAGACCAGCCTGGGCTACAAAATGAACTCCAGACCAGCCCAAACAGCACAGAGACCGTGTCTCAAAAAAATAAACAAAAAAGGCACAGGACTTTACAAGAAGTACATCCAGTGACTGGACTCTTTACAGTAAACAAATACAAAGTGCATAATTAACATAATTTCCATAGAGTTCATATCAACCAATCCATTCTTTATATTATCCTCCAGACCTAGACCTCTCTTTTTCAAATTTTATTGCTGACAACCTCCCTTCAAAATCTGTAAGCATGAAATCATGTAATCCCACTTAATAAGACTGGTCCTATGACTTAGGTGTGAAACGTCTCCCACAGTCCCATGTGCTCAGAGGTGGGGTCTTGGGAAGGCGCTAGACTGCGGGGGCTGCACGCTCGTCAGGGGATGAGGTCGCCAGGAAATGGGCTGCAGAGGCAGGAGGCCGCTGGGGTGAGGCCCTGGAGGGCACATCCCTCGCTCGCACGGGCCCTCTCTCCAAGCCCAGTTGCCACGGTTGCCACACGACTCTCCCAGCCCAGCCCAGCTTTCGTCTGCCAGGTCCTGCTGCCACGCCAAGCCGCAGAGCAGAGGGCCACGGGCCGAGAGCTTGCAACCGTGCCAGGGATTCGCTCAGCACACTGCAAATACTTCATCCTCACTCACATTTACTCATACGAAGAGACGCAGGACAGAGATTCTTCTGCGTAGGAACCTTGAGGGCAAAGGGACGTGGGGGCGCCATGTGCTGGTGCTGGAGCGCCTGCACACGGATGCCCGCGGGACACCGGGCAACGGCGTCTCAGGCAGGCGGCCCGCGCACCCGAGAGGCGCCAGAACACTGCTCTGGGCACCGTCTGGGCACGGAGCGCTCCTCACTCCTCCCCAGGGGTCTCCACGGCGAGGTCAGGGGCTCTTCCCGTGTTACCGCACGGTTTACGGGGGTAGGGGAAAGACACAGACCACTGAAACACTCACTTTGCTCCAAGATCCTTTTGAGGAAAATGAAGAGATTTTGTGTGTAAATTCTCAATATAAAATATTTAAAAAACATTCAAGGGGGCCGAGGAGATGGCTCAGTAGAATAAGCGCTTGTCTGGCAAGCACAAGGGACTGAGTTCAATCCCTGATTCCACAAAAAAAAAAAAAAAAAAAAACACCACACATTCCAAGAGAAGTAGAATCTAACAGGTGCTTAGCACTGGCCAGAGGGAACAAATGGGGCACCGGGAGCTGCTGATCAAGGGATATGAAGTTCCAGTTAGACAAGAGGAATAAGATTTTGAGAGCTATTGTACAGCATGCTAAGCATACTTCATAATAATTTAAAGTATTTCTCAAATTTGCTAAAAGTAAACTTTTTAAGCAACTCACCACAAAAACAGGTACAGTGATGGATTAGCTTGATTAATCTTTAGACAATGTATACTAAAGTATTATACCCCCTAATACACACAACTGTCAATTAAAACAATAATAAAAAAGTATCAAAAAACCATAGGCTGACATTGCAAAGTACAAATCAAAAATTACCAGGTGTTTTTAAACAAAACTACAAAATCTTATCCTTCAGACCTTAGAGCATACCAAGGGATGTGTGCCCTCTGTCCTCCCTGGCTGTCTAGCTCAACTGTGTATTTTACCTCTTTCCTTTTTAACCTATTGTATATGCTGCATCTCTCTTGCTGGCTGTTAATAATAAATGCATAAACAAATAGCAATGAGACAGTTTCAAATCAAATCGCTAGGACAGTTTCAATAATTAACACACTGCATACATTCCTCCCAGTGGCTAATTGCTGTACAAGATGCGGACATGATATCCTATCTACAAACACCATTAGAACAAATCCTTCTATTCATTAAGAGAATGTAACTATATATCTATCCTAACCACTTTGAATACACAGATACAAAATGGACATTCATCTGTACACACTTTTGTTAAGTTCCGTTATTTGAATATTATAAGTTCCATTATATTCTTTATTTTTTCTTTTCTTTCTTTTATCTTGGTTACTGGGAATTGAACTCAGGACCTTGCGCTAGCTGGGCAGGCATTCATGCTGCTGAGCTACACTCTCAGTCTCTGTTATATTCTTTAAGACCCTGAGCCCGGACACGCATTGGCAGTCTGCGGGGAGAGCCGGACGACACTCCGCACACCAAGCCGCCTTGCTCCTCCTCTGACCACTGAAACCAGCACACCTGGTGTGGTGAGATTTCATTCCAAATATTCGGGTCGCAGTAGATGCTAACAATCAACCTACCAGCGTCCGAGTGCCAAAACCATCACAGAGCGGTGGCATTTCCTTGTTTAAGCAGATCCTTGCCATCATCCTCATTAGCAGCTGCAACTTTCTCCTATTCTCAGGAGGCAGGAGGAGACAACAAATCTGAAATGCTTCAACTGCCATTTTCTCTTTCTGTAACAAACCTGATTCAAAAAGAAATTTCATCTTTTAAAACCTATAATCTACTCTGTATGTGCACATTTTTACAAAATACGTTCCACTATATATCTTTCCACTGTATCTTGCTGATTGAGTACAGATCCGCTGCCACTGACAGATCAGCACAGAAAATGCAAATCCATAACCGAGACAATGCAGTAAGATACGCAACCATCTGTCCCACCCCCACACTCTACAAGGGACACCTTCCCACTCACCTCATCCTTGACACCCCCACTGTTAAGGTCCAAGGTAACACGCCCAAGTGCGAGACCCACATGGCTGCTGGACATGCCCTTGGTTACTCTTTCCCCATAACCAGCAGGCTCGCAACCACAAACAACTGTCACGGACTAAAATAATGGGGTGAATGCTCCCGAAGTCAGCGGGCCAGTAACAGCTCAGTCTTTTCTTAAGCACACCTGCCAAAAACGCTTGCTTCCACATTGTTATGGTTTGTGTCTAGGCGTCCCCCAAAAGCCTCATGCAGTCATGGGGCGGGCTTCGTGGTCCAATGCTGGGGTTATGGGAGGGCTACACCCCCCCCCCCCAGGGCAGGAGCCTGCATACAACATAAGGGAGGAAAAGAGACCAGCTCTCTGCTGCTCCTTCCTTTTTGCTCTCATTGTTTTGCTGTTTTCTGGCGCCATGAACTGCTGCCCTCTTCCATGTGCCACTCTGCCTTGGAGCCAGCTGAGTGTGGACTGAAACCTCTACAACTGAGAGCTAAATAAACCTTTCCTTCCTTCATTTTGGGTGTCAGGTATTTTGTCCCAGCAATGAGAGAAAGGCAACCATGACACATAGTCACTGTGACTTGGACTTAAATATAATAGTTTGATCATTCATTCTCTGTTCATATGCCAGTCATCGTCACCTTCGGTATGATTTTGTTTAAAACCTCAACATATTTAAAGCTAGGTGTGGTGGCACACACCCTGTAATCACTGAAGGAAACTGAAGCAGGAGGATCACAAGTATGAGCCCAGCCTGGGCAATTCAGTGAGACCCTGTCTCAAAGATAAGAAAGAACTTGGGTAGAGCCCAGTGGAAGGCCCTGGGTCAATCTCCAGTAAGTCAAAAAAAAAAAAAAAGAAGCCAAGAAAGATACTTTAATATTGTCTTCTTTTAAACACTACTTATCCCTGAATATTCACACCTAAGGCCTTTAATAAAATGCTATTTCTTCCATTCTTTCAAGTTCCATTCGTTTTTTTACCTAAAGTCAAAATCTATCTTACATTGAATAAATATATGCTGCTATCTGGGACATCAGCCCTGGAAACCGTGACAGGTCCTTGAAATGCAGAAATGTACTCTGTCCCTTCCTGTGAAGATTCACAGAAAGAGAAGTCCCTAAACCAGTAGATGATGAAATGCAAGAAGCCACCACAAGAGATGACTAGGGGCACATCTGGGAAGCCGTGAGTCATTCAGTATTTCTGCAGCACAGACTACAAGGGCAATGCCTTAGAAGTGAATTTAGAAAAGCCATTGGGATGCAGAGCCAGAAAACTTTTAAGTTCAAGCCCAGCCTGGGCAAATTGGTGACTTAGTGAGATCATCTTTTAAAAGGCAAGGAGGTTGGGAATACAGCTCAGTGTAAAGGTCCTGGGATCAGCCCCATATCCAAACACAAGAGGTCTTGGTGGATCTTGAATGCCAGACTAAACACACAGCTTAGGCTTAACCTCTAGAACAAGGGATGCAAACCGACCTATGTGGCAGGAAGAGGGGAGCAAGGAGAGTTCCTTTTGCTTTGTCTGTGATGCTAAGGATCAAACCCAGAGCTTCTAGAGCCTTGGGCAGGGAGCCACTCAGCAGCCATCGCCCATCCGCTGTCCCCAAGAGGCTCGGATCCCAGACACCCGAGCTGCTCCGGCCAACTAGCAGCAGCAGCTATGCTAACCTGTTCTCACTCCTATGGAATCAAATCCACAGGAAGAAAAAAGGCCTCTACGTTTTCATTCACCCCACAAACATTTATTAAACCCTGTCTATACTCCAGTGAATTTAGACAGAGAGGGTAAACCGAACTGCATATATTGCAGGTTAATAATTAGCTTCTCTTCTGGAGGGTTAATAACCTAAGTTA